GAGAATAAGTGTGAGCATTACACCTGTGTTAAGAGTGGTGAGACTTTAGCAACGATCAGTTCACACACTGTCTGCCCACCATTCCAACAGAGCAACTGTCAACCTGTAAGTGTCACTTTCCAACGATGAATCTGGATTTATTGTGCCTGTGTGAACAAAAGATAAAACTAAATCTGCTGATGTTGCGTATTTTTCTCCTCAGAACACGATTCAGACTGCCGCAAATGGCTGCTGTAAAGTTTGTAAGTATGACATTTTTATTTCTTTTGGATAGGAGGTGTTGAGATAAAAACAACTAACTGTGCATCTTTTTTGAAAAGGTGTGGAGAAGGAAAAGGGCTGCAAGTTAATGTCCATGAAAACCCGCCTTGCACACAAGGACTGTCAGTCCAACCAGGAAGTAGATATGCCATATTGTGAAGGATCCTGCAACACTTTCACCAAGTAAGAAGAAAATTAGCAAGATTTCTTATTCCAAAAATATTTAGTTTGTGCAGATTTTAAGTTATTTAATAAACCTTGCGTCTGCTTTCTTCAGGTACTCTCAAGTAGCAGCGACTATGCAGCATTCATGCTCCTGCTGTAAGGAGACTCGCTCCAGCAATCGCACCGTTGACTTGCTCTGCTTGAATGGACATACGATTCCCTACACATACATGCATGTGGAGGCCTGTGGCTGTGGACACACAGACTGCACCAGAGCTGCAGGACTGTCTGCTCGCAGGAAGAGAAGCTTGACACTGCTGTGATAAGGCACCTGTTGTCACTTTAACAGATGTGGGATACAAATATTTTTTCCCATATTGTTCTAATAATCACTACACCTCTTGCAAAGCAATTGTCATTGTAAAGAGACTATTTATCCACTGATCAAATAAAAGGATGCAACTCAGTTTATGTCTTGTCTCCTCCATTCCCTTATTTGTATCAAGACAACTTTTGCTGACAAAAGTTTCAACTTTACTTGTTATTACATTCACACAAACCCAAAAGATAAATGTTTTACCATCATCTGTGAAAAAGTACTTTCAGTTTGTCTCAAATAAAACATGGTTGATGGGGTGACTAATACAACTGAATTGAATCAAACACCACACAGATGCATGAACATTTTAAGTAAGTCAAAATCACCAGAAAGTGTAGCACGTAAGGAGGAGAAAGGAGGTGGAGACATGCAGCAACAATCAGTGTTGGTATGAGCAGTCAGCAGTAGCAATGAGAGAAAGTAGGTAGGATCGTGTTGGGCATCTGCTTGAATGTGACTGGACTCTGTTCACTACACAGCTGTGAATGAGCTTCAGTGGAGCAGTTCATGGCTACAAGTCGGTGACTGATCCGAAATCGGATCAGCAAAACGGCACACAAATCAGCAGCATGAAATCAGAAGCCAAAGAAGTGCCGGAGCTTCCCTTGACTGTGAATCCTGCTGCGCCACACCTCTGAATGACCATAAAACCCAGAGTGTCCTATACTATCCCATCCTAATCACACAGACTGAAATACTACTGAACTATTATGATGTTTGTTATAAGTCAGGGGGCTGCACAGTGGATCAGGGGTTAGCACCATCACCTCACAGCAAGCAGATCCCTGGTTTGCGTCATGGTTAGGACGCCTGGGATCTTTCTGTGTGGAATCTGTCCGTAAGTGTGAATGTGAGTGTGCTTGTTCATCTGTTTGTAGCCCTGTGATAAACCCTGAGTCACCCTGAGTCGGCTGGGACCCCCCCACAACCCTAGTGAGGATTAAGTGGTGTATAGATAATGGATGGATTTGAGTCAGGGCTGTATCTTTCAATCAAATCTAAATATTTTATATACGTGTACAATTTCTCATTCTGTGGGTTTGTGAAAACTGACTCACTCATTTGTATGGTTAACTGTGAAAAGGTCTCTAATTTTATTGTTTATGTAATGCTTGTTTGTATTACCTCCTACTTATCTGGTCTGTTTTGCGAACTGTTCTGATGCTAAATCACCAGTAGAGATTAGCTTTCCCTTTTCACATCTTGTATCTACTACCACTAATAATAACAATCTGAAACCTGTACAAAGCTAGTTCAACATACCCAGGATATCTTTGTGTTATCTGGCTTCATTAAACCTAACAAACAGATTATGCACCTTTATAAAGGAAAATAGAGCAATGAAATGAGTTTTTGCTCTGAAAAACTTGTACCTTCAACCTCTTGCTGTCTGTGTCCTGAGTTCAGCATGATTTGAATGAACACGACATTTTCAAAGTGAACATGTTGATCTGTTATCTTGAACATAACCTGCTCCAGATCAGGTTTGGTGTTCCGCATAATGTACCCCAGTAAAAAGTAAACCAATGTTGTAGCCCTAAAAATCCAGGGTAAAACCCAAAAATACCTTGCTAACCCCAAATATTGCTTCACAGGACAGGCCTCGAGGGGGGATTAAACAAGATAGGCAACAGAAAGAGCAAAACTTTGATACACATCTTCTGCTATACAGTCCTGCCGATTACATTTTAAACAGCATAAGGTGTTATGTTCAGTCATGCTACCTGTTTCGCTGGAGTCAGATGGGCAACAGAAGCTAATAGAAGACCAACTGACGGCCATGTCATTTGTCTGCGCTTGAGCCTTTGTGTTTGAAACCGTGACATTAACAAAGAGAACATTTCTCACCAACTAAGAAAACACCTTCAAGATCATGATACTGTCACATGACCGCCTGATTTTTAAATTATTATCAGGCATTTATCAGTCAGAAAAACTAGTGCTTTTCTTATATTGCCTTGATCAGCATATGTCAGTGTCATGAAGATAAACAACAGTTTGATGACCTAATTGCCTCTGGGTTTTTAAAAAAAAACAACCAAAAAAACAAAAAAGATGGCTGCCGATCTAGGTTGGAAAACTGGCCAAAGCCGTTTTAGGATTATTCTTTAAACTAATTGTGTGTATTTAGAGCTTTTTTTCCCAGCATATTTCTTTTCAGCAAGTCATTTTTAAATGTAATTATTGTTTTATATTTATATTTTTAATATTTTCTGAAAAACTATCCAAGAAATAGACACAGCCTTATAATATTATGTGCTGGTGTTTGCATACAATGTGTGCAATATGTACGTCAGGAACAAAATGGAGCTGAAGGTGGTATTTTGTTAAAAACCCAGGTTTAAAAGTGAATAAAAATCTGTACTTCAGACAGAAGTCCATGACACAGCATTGTACGATCTTCATTCAACTGTGCATCTAAATTTTCAGCTAAATTTTACAGTATCAACACTCAGCCTTTCTGTTTGCTATGTGTCATGCCAGTGGTTTCTGTTTGTATTACAGTGTGTAAAGAAGACATTGCATGTGCTCTTTGAACACACTAATACCAAACAGTGTATACTTTGACAGATTCTGTGGGAAGGCTGTTGACAAAACTAACATCCCATTTGTTCTGATAAGACCAGCAGCTGAAATTACTTGCAGCAAACCAAGTAAGGACTACTGTACAAGACCTTAAGACCCAATCTAAGTTATGTTGCCAAGAAATGTGATGAATACACAGAAAACAAAACATTTTGGGGCCACATCCATCTAACAGCCAAGAGTGTTGGCTGTTGAGCACATAAGTACACAAATCAAGTCTGTTTAGTATGTTTGTTTAGTAATATTATCTACAGTTGAAACCAGAAGTTTACATACACTGTATAAAAAGACATATAACCTTTTTTTTCTCACTGTCTGACATTAAATGAGACTAAACTTTTCCTGTTTTAGGTCAGTTAGGATTTCCAGAATTATTTCTATTTGCTAAATGCCAGAATAATGGGAGAGAGAATTTTTAATAGAATTTTCCATTACTTTCTTTAAAGACAGAACTTTACATACACTAAGATTACTATGCCTTCAAACTATTTGGGAAAGCCCAGATGATGATGTCATGGCTTTGGAAGCTTTTGAAAGGTAATTGATAACATTTGAGTTAACTGGAGGCACACCTGTGAATGTATTTTAAGGAACACTTCAAACACACTGCAGAAATGGTTTAAAAACAACAAGGGTGAATGTTCTGCAGGGGCTGAGTTAGAGCCCAGACCTCAATGAACTTTAGAATTTATGGCTAAACTTAAAAAAGGCTGTTCACTCACCATCCTTGTGCAACCTGACAGTTTTGCAAAGAAGATTTGGGTTAAAATTACAGAGTCCAGGGGCCTCATTTTTCATCAGTGTGGAGAAAAGGTCCTAAATTCTGTTATACGAATGAAAATTAGAGGGTGCATAAGTATTAAAAAAAAGTCTGTATTTATCAAACATGCGTCATCAGTGTTGATAAATCCCACTTGTTCTTAACCACCATGCTTGTGCACTTCCAGGATCATTTGCCTTCAGAAATGCCTCTAATTAACCATGTACGCAACAACACGCCTCTTTACAAAACAAGTGAATATTTTCCCCCTCTCGCCTTTCATCATTTTCGGCAAAGAGGGTGACAAAGAGAAACTTTTCGGAAACTGAAATTGAGGTACTTGTCAGCGAGGTTGAAGCTAACCAGAAACTATTGTTTGGTGCGTGAAATGTTGGGATAAGCAACGAAAGAAAAAAACACTGCATGGGACAAGATAACCACCACAGTTATTTCTGTTGGGTCAGAGGAGAGATCCCTAGCACAAATAATTTAATTTTAAAAAAAATAAAAAAGTGGTTTGACATTAAACTCAGCGCCAAAAAACGCGTCACAGCCTATAAAAGAGAAATGACTGCAGCTGGAGGAGGACAAATGAACACCCAACTTTTACCCAGTCGATAACCCTGATTATGTACAGATGAGATGTTTTAATAACCATGTCCAGCAAAAAGCCATCTTCAGCAGCTCCCGCTTGGAGACACACCCACAGAGCTGTTCTGCACAATAAACGAGTTGTACGTTCCTCCGAGCCACCGGGCAACAACGTTTGACAGCAACAAATGTGCATCGCAAATTATTTATATGTTGATTGACTGAAACCCTTTTGTTTAGTGATGCTGCTTTGAATGCGATGTGGGTACAGTCTATGGCTCCACTTACTGTATGTTTGGGAATCCAACGATGGCGTGAAGTCCCTGTTTGATTTCGGCTTGCTGGTGACGGTTGTAAGGGAACTGGATATAGACAGGGGCCAGTGAAATTATGGGATCCAACACTGCCGGCATGATCCTGCTCAGTGATGGCTTGGAAATGCTGCATATGTCTCCAACCTTATGCTGGAATGCAACTTAAGCATGAAGGGTCAAAATCCCAAAGGATCCGCTGCCAACATCCTGGTGCCACAGGACACGTCCAGAGGTCCTGGTTCCAAGGCCCAACAGGTCAGAGCTGTTTGAGCAATATGATGTGGACCTACACAATGTAAGGCAGGTGGTTTTTATGCTGTGGGTCATTACTGCACAAAAAGTACATGACAAAACTATGTATTGGTGCATCAGTGTCAACACTATTTTACAAAAGGTAAGCGTAGAGTTATAGAGCATGACTAGAAAAGATATGAACTGCATTTCTTCTGAAGTAGATGTAACAAAAACAAGATGTATGCATGGGTGGAGAGTTCCTGTGCAAGATGTGTCAGTACGAAAAGCATCCTTCACCCATCATACCCCTGATCCTGTTGGTGAATAGAACAAATTACAGTAGAATAGAGTGATGACATTTACTATCATATTATTCCTTTTGTTTGCATTGATAATGTGTGCTCAGCTCAGCTGGAGGATTTCCAGTTGGCACATGTGTCCTTGTGTGATAGGTGTTATGAACATGACAAGGAAATATTGTATTTGTATTTGACTATCTCTCATCAGATACTCAGACACTGCAGCTACATTAATGGCCAAATGTAAGATGCAAAGTCATCTTCAAATTCCTTCTCTCTCCATGGAATATACTTTTCTCCTGTTATTTGTTTAACCCTATTTGGATTCATATGTTTGTCATAAGTTTGTCAGAGCAGGTTCACTAATCCAAACATATGACTACATCAGATCTCCTGTATTAGCAGATGTTCAGTTTCCATGTGCGTGCACAATGCTGTTTGGAAAGGCAAAGAAGACGTGCAACACTCTGAAACATTTCATAGGTCTTGTAAGTCTTGAGCAAATGTTTGGTCGTTCTATGTTCCAATGATATATGGATTTACTTTACACCAACACATGCACTCAGGCCCTTAGTCGATATGGGGACACAACCCACAGCTCAAAATGCTCTGGTTCAGTGAGAAAAGCACGCTATCTTTGTTTAAATAAGCCAACACGTTCATCTTCTTCTTATGACAATCAGGACCTAAATATCATTAACTGCAACTCTATGGTAGTTCAGTTGAAAACATTTCCCTCGCTAACATGATTGTTTTACCAAAAATTAACATATAGCCTGAGACAGAGAGAGAGTGATGGGATGTTTTGTGACACAGACAGATAAGGATGAAGTGATGTTATAAGCATCCTATTCATGGGCGTGAACTGACATAGAGACAAAAAACACAAACGGCTGACACGCAGAATGCATCTCATACCCCTCCTAAACTGCAAACACCCAGAGAAGTATATTACATGACCTTGGTAGTGTGGTAGCAGTTGCCTCCACTAACCCTCTCAGGACAGGGACGACCCAGCGACCATGAGAGGATTCAGGATGCTGCTTGAATGGGTGATACCATGGCTCACCCTCNTAGGTCTTGTAAGTCTTGAGCAAATGTTTGGTCGTTCTATGTTCCAATGATATATGGATTTACTTTACACCAACACATGCACTCAGGCCCTTAGTTGATATGGGGACACAACCCACAGCTCAAAAGGCTCTGGTTCAGTGAGAAAAGCACGCTATCATTGTTTAAATAAGCCAACATGTTCATCTTCTTCTTATGACAATCAGGACCTAAATATGAGTGCTCCTTAATTAACTCATTAACTGCAACTCTATGGTAGTTCAGTTGAAAACATGATTTTTTTACCAAAAATTAACATCAACATATAACCTGACAGAGAGAGAGAGTGATAAGATGTTTTGTGACACAGACAGATAAGGATGAAGTGATGTTATAAGCATCCTATTCATGGGCGTGAACTGACATAGAGACAAAAACCACAAAGGTTGACTCGCAGAATGTATCTCATATCCCTCCTAAACTGCAAACACCCAGAGAAGTATATTACATGACCTTGGTAGTGTGGTAGCAGTTGCCTCCACTAACCCTCTCAGGACAGGGACGACCCAGCGACCATGAGAGGATTCAGGATGCTGCTTGAATGGGTGATACCATGGCTCACCCTCTGCCTCGGGCTATCTGCAGCCACCACCGGTATGTAAACTAATGGGACACGATGTGAGCTAAGATGAAACCCTTTTCAACCTTGTTGTCCTGCAGTGTCTATTAGGTGAAAAGGGCCCTATCCTGGGAAGATTTGATCAAATGAATGAGGTTCTTCTATTTGTTTCTTGCACATCCTGGATGATAGAAATGTAAACATAGTCTGCTTTTGTGTGACTCTATAGTAATGTGAAGTTATGATATAAATGTCTTTTTTCTTTTTGAAGTTACCGTTCAGACAGCGACCAACATACCATTAATTAGAGGTAATAATTTGTTTTTTTTTCCAATTTGTTTATACTGTTAACTGCTACGTGTAGTGAATGTGTTTTCATCTCCACAAACTAGAGCTGAGACCCTCTCACAACAGCCAGTTCTGCAGCACATGGGGAAACTTCCACTTTAAGACTTTTGATGGAGATTTTTTCAGTCTTCCCTTGACTTGCAACTACATCCTTACGCGCCTGTGTGAGGGCTATGGAAGCTATGGTGCATTTAACATTCAGCTCCAGAGACAGGAGATAAATGGTTCTATCAGCATTAAGAAAATCACAATGAAACTGGATGGATCTGTGGTGGAATTAGACAACGCATCCATCAAAGTCAATGGCGACCCGTGAGTTTGTTTTGATAATGTCACTTTTATTTGACCGCTGTTAACGCTGATTATGATTGTGAATGTTTTATGATGAAACCGCAATGTTTTATTTGTCCTCTCCAGCGTCAACATACCATACAACCAGGCTGGCGTTTCAATAGCAAGGTCCACAGAGTCCTATCTTAAAATCGAGGCAACGCTGGGTTTGGTCTTCATGTGGAATCAAGGTGATTCCCTCTGGGTATGTGTATTCACATTTTCTTTGTTATATACTGTATATGACTTGACTGGACTAAGTGGCTTAATTATTTCATTTAGCCCATGTTAAATCAAAGTCAGTTGTGTAGGTTAAGTGCTTTTGTAAAGGGCATGTCAACATTCTTGTGTTTCTGGTGATGACAAAATTCATCTGATGAGATGATGTGTATATTGCTGTGTATATATATGTTGCCCATAAAGTTGGAATAAAATAGTTTTTTTTTACCTCTTCTCATGAAATAATTGTGTCAATGCAATTTATTCTTAATAGATAAAGTGTATATCTTCTCAAAACTCATACATACAATACATATCACAGTAAAAATTAAACTACAATTAACTTTTGCAAACAGTGTATTCAGGCTAAGACAAAGTTAAGGGTTTGGATAAATACGATGAAGGGTTTAGTTTCAATCTTTTCAACCTTGGTCATATAACAGGAAACACATATTCGAGCAAATTTCATGCATGACAATGTCCAATATTACTCTTCCAAATGTCACTCAATCACTAATATTGAGTATGACTCAGATCAATGCGCTAAGACATCGTGGCATACTGTCCACAAGCTTGTTGATGGTGTCAATGGGCAGGTTGTCCCACTCTTCGGTAAGAATCCGTTTCACCGGGGTAACTGGGACTCACTCTGTAATCATTGCACCTGGTCAAAAGTGATTACTGATACTGTACATATAGACATAAAAAGAGGAATGTGTCTGAAAACAAAAACTATTGGAACCTTATGGGCAGCAGTGTATGAGAACAGTGCACAATCACTGTTGAGAGATCCATATTGATATTAAAAGGAAACAGAAAATGGTAAACTGTTTGATAGCTGGTAGTTAATACATGGAGAGAGTATTAGACAAAGCCAACTTCAGGCTGAATTTTAAGACTAAAACAAATCACATTCCTATATGGCTGAACACAAAGCTTCACCAGACACTCTGCACAAATTTTAACAAGCAAAAGAACATTGAGTGATTTCATCTGAATTTCTACGCTTTATTCTATTTTCTAGATCGAGCTGGATGCAAAATTCAAGAATCAAACCTGCGGCCTGTGTGGCGACTTCAATGGAGCCCAGATTCATGATGAGTTCATTCAGTCAGGTAAATACTAAATGTTACGCTAAAAATAACTTCAATACTCAAATCAGTCCAAAATTTGATTAAACATTTCCTTCCTCTTGAAGCAGGGGATTCTGTGAGTACTGAATTCTATGCAGCACAATGGAAAGTCAATGGTCCCACTGAAAGCTGTGAAGAAACCGACTCTTCAGCCACACAGACTTGTACAAAACAGGTATGAGAGAATGAGTTTGCTTTAAATGATTTTATATCGTTTAGATCCTGTTTAAGTACATGACATACTGTTGCATATATACAGACAAAGACCTGCGAGAATCTGCTGGCTGGACCTGCATTCCTCAGCTGTCAAGACCTGATTGATACCAACTCCTTCATTCAAGCCTGTGAGGAAGACCTGTGCTACTGTAACAGCAGTACTTCATGCCTGTGCTCGACAATATCAGAGTACTCACGGCAGTGTGCTCATGCCGGCGGGAACCCACAGCAGTGGAAGACCGCACAACTATGTGGTGAGAACAGGAATGAGAATTGTGCATTCTCAAGCTTCGATATTGTTAATGTAGTTTCATCTCAGTCAGTGTTTCTAAATGTAAATCTTTGTGTTCAATAGCAAAACAATGCCCTTTCAACATGGAGTATAAAGAATGTGGTAATCCATGCACTGACACCTGCAGCAACCCTCAGGGAAGCCAAACGTGTGACGAGCACTGCATAGATGGATGCTTCTGTCCATCTGGTAAGTTCTGTGAATGTAAAACAGCCATCAGTAGTTTGTGATGCTTAGTTACCTGAAGGAATAATTTGCTATTCGTCTTCACCAATAGCAGGATAGGAAAAGTTGTAATTTTACAGTCACTTGCTTGAATTAATTCTTGCCAAATAATAGACATCAGTGTGTCTCAGTCTGCCTATTTAATCGTGGGGAAGTGTGTTCCACAAGGTTTCACCCTAGGATCCCTTCTACTTTACTAATAAAATATGTTCAAATTGCTCTGTACGCCTTTATGCTGATGACACTGTTATTTACGTCTCCTTCTCTGATATATTAGAAATTCTGAACTGTAGACAGTTGAATTTCTGGTTCAAAACAGTTTCATACCAACAAACTTGATTTGCATAAGAAAAAGTCCTTCATAATGGTGTTTCATACATGACATGTTCGTTCACGTCCTTTTGACCTGAACATTATTTTTGACGATGGGTCATTGCTTTGAGAAAGTTGAATCCTTCAAACATCTTGGACTTTGGAACAACCCTGAACTCTCCATTAAGCCCTACTTTGAATTTACTACAACAACCCCTCCCCCCCGCCCCAACATATAGCCTTATTGTCTCTTATATGAATTGCTTAACTGGTTCCAGCCTAAATCAACAAAGGCTATTTCACTGGCTCCTCTTTATTTTCAAATGTCTTTATTTGAAATACTCTTTGTATTTGAAACAGTTTCTGGTGTCATATAAATATTCAAAATCACTTAGTCATAGGCCATATCATGTTTTCTTTGTGCTCCAATTGTTTTTGTTTTGAAAGTTGGATGCAGGCAATTTCAATACAAAGCTCCGTCTGATTAAAACTATCGTTCTCATCTTAAAGCAACTTACTTGTGATTTAAATTTGCGCGTCACTCAAATTTTTGGTTCATTAAAAATATTGGAAATCAAACTGCTTCAGATGCTGTTGTAATTGTAATATTCTGGGTCTTTGTAACTGCTTTTTTATTCAATAGCTGAGGTCGGATGGGGTGGATGGAAAGGGGTCAGCGAGTTGTCTGTGTATCTGTAGTGTGTGTTATATAATGTTGTGTTTGTGTGTGTTTTGCTTTTGTGTTTTTAGGACCTACTTGTAAATTATAAACTACATCTCAATGGACTATCCTTTCAATAAATTAAAATATAAATTGTGGACAAAACACTTGTTTTTTGGCTTAGTGTTACATAACAGGCTACATGAACTGAAATCATTCCTGTACAATATTAATGCTAGGTTAACACCCTGATAAATGTCTTATTGTCCTCATAACTTGACGGGACTCTTCGTTATACACTTTGGTCACAATGAGTCGGTGCACAGTTGATGCAGAGATAGGGAAGATTAACAGGTAATTGACAGCGACATCTAAACAAGGTGCTTGGATGAAATGCGGTTTTGATTTTGGACCTAAATAAGTGTATAAATTCATGATTTTGCATTTTTAATTTTGTATTTTCTTTGACGCCCAGTTCACATTTGTGAATGTGTCGGAAATACAGTTAGAAATGGACTGTTAAATTATGGATGCATTTATAACTTAACATTCGCACAGCACTACAAAATGGCGAACACCCTATAAAGTGCACTATGTAGGGTATAGTGGGTGATTTTGGACACAGCCTAAGTGTGTCATTATGTTTCTCCCAAGGGACCGTCTTTGATGACATCAAACAAAGTGGGTGTGTCGCTGTTGACCAGTGCTCCTGCTTGCACAATGGTCAGCCATACAGCCCTGGGGAGTCATACTCAAAAGCATGTCAAAAATGGTAATTTTTACATTCACAACATGTGCTTTTAAGATGGTTTGTGGAGTTGACCTGACTGAACCTTGTTGACAGCACCTGCACTCGGGGTCAGTGGAACTGTCAGGATGTGGACTGTCCTGGTCTCTGCTCCATCCGTGGCGGCTCTCACATTTCTACCTATGACGATAAAAAATACACTTTCCATGGAGAGTGTTCGTATGTGCTCTCCAAGGTATTTCTTTTTCTTTTAACTCAGAAGCAAAATGACAGTAAATGTGAATGAAATAATAGTTTGTAATTAAGTGTATTTTTCTCCTCTTGACTATAGGAAACTAGTGGGACTTTCAGTGTCCTTGTGGACTTGGCTAAATGTGACAAATCTGATAAGGCAACTTGCCTGACTGCAGTCACTCTACTACTGCAAGAAAACGTGGTAAAATATATGAGAAGGCCTATTTTTACAGTTTTCTCCATGTAATATATGTCAGAAAGCATTCAGATATGTATCGTGATGTACCTCCTCACTTTGTCCTGCAGATGGTTGTAGTCGAAGCCAGTGGGCAAGTTTTACATAACAAACAGGTCCCCCAGCTTCCTCTTTTCACAAGTGAGTGGTTGGTTGTTTTTAGTGTCTTCTTTTATGAGATCACAACATATGAGTGAGTTTGCTCAAACTAAAACTATCTCTTTATCGAAGATGATTTTTTTTTTCCTTTACAGATGAAGCCACAGTCTTCAAACCATCCACATTCTTTGTTGTAATCTCCACCACCGTCGGGCTTCACCTTGAGATTCAGCTCGTACCAACCATGCAGGTCTACATCAAAGCCAGTGCTTCCATTAAAGGAAAACTCAGCGGTGGGTTTTTAATCTGGAGCACTTTTGATTAAAGTGAAAAGTATGAGTGTTGAAGTAATCTTTAAATAAAATATTAAATCAATGTGCCTTTTTTTGTTTTTTTAGGACTTTGTGGAAATTTTAATGATGTTGAGGCTGATGACCTCACAGCAAGAAATGGATTGACTGAGGGAACGGCCGTGACATTTGCCAACACGTGGAAGACCAGAACAAGCTGCCCTGATGTGAAAAACATACATGGGGAACCCTGCCATTTGAGCGTAGACAGAGGTAGATCACAGACATCATGCTCCATATTTTAAAGGACTAGAATCATTGATGCCAAATGTGCTTTCAAAATTGGGTGATGTAGTTATTTCTTTGCCATTATTGGTCAAAAACTCCATTCAAACCTTTCAACTTATTGTAGGTCAAATGGCCTGAGAAGAAACTAGATTTCTACGCCTCCGCTTGGCTCCATTTACAGGCCTTACTATATCTAATCCAATCACAGTGTTTTTGACCAAGAACACATAAGTGCAGAATGTGATTGTGCCAAAGGTTTGACAGAGGACTTTCTCTCTGGACAGTGCAGTTGGAGTCCTTTAAATCCTACTTTTAAGCCTTATGCTGTTGGTGAGCTTTGGCTAAAAGCTGGTTGTGAAGTTACACTTTAATATCACTCTTCACAGTGCTCTACCTGTAAACATGCTTGTTTCTCTCTGCAGAGAAATATGCCACACACTGGTGCTCCATGCTGTCACGCCCAGATGGGATTTTTTCAAAATGCCATTCTGAAATAAACCCAGAAGACTATGAAAAAGTAAGCAATAAATCCTAATGCTATTGCCTGCAGCCTAATCTATGCTCATGTATTTGTGTTATTTTACTTCCTTGTCAACTGTGTATATCAACCTCTCATTTCACTTGTTGCTGCTTTCCTCTTCAGTCTTGTCAATATGACAGCTGCGCCTGTGAAAACAGTCAAGAGTGCATGTGTTCTGCCATGTCCTCTTACGTCCATGCATGTGCCGCTGAAGGTGTCTTCCTGACAGGATGGAGGCCCGACGAATGCAGTAGGTTTAAACCAAACTATGGTTTAAATTCAGTCTGTCTTTTTTTATAGTGATAATTCACTAAGCAACCTTTTCTTCTCTCAACAGAGAAATACACAGAAGACTGTCCTCCTAGTTTTGTGTATGACTACAAGATGACAAGCTGTGATCGCACCTGTCGCTCTTTCAGCCAGTCAGACCCAACATGCAGTGTTAACTTTACCCAGCTCGATGGCTGCGGCTGTGCTGAAGGAACTTATCTTAATGAGAAGGGAGTGTGTGTGTTGGCCAAACATTGCCCCTGTCATGTCGGTGACACGATTGTGCACTCTGGGCAGGTCATCAGGGTCCATGGACAAACTTGGTGAGGATTTCAGTGTTTCCTGTGAATCAAAGCAAAACATTTTTAATATTTTTTTGGCATTCTATTAGTTTACTGATGGGAGACAGACATCAATAAAGCAGATGAAAGAGAAACCCTGGGAAATCTTAAACAAATTGTGGGTCACCTAATGCTCCATTTATCCAGAGGTTAACTGTAGATGGAAATTTACTGGTAAAATGTATTTCTCTTGTTTGTCCACTTTTCTTATTTTGCCTGTCTTTCTATGCAGCATCTGCCATGGTGGAAAATTAGACTGTAAAGGACGCCACATAAATGAAAGTAGGTACAAAGCACTCAGATCATCTACAGTAAAGCACAGTATTAGCAACACCAAGCATGCAGTGATGTCCTTTGTAACACACTATCATTGTCATCAGTATGCACTGCTCCAATGGTTTTATTCAACTGCTCAAATGCAAAGCCCGGTGACAAGGGATCCGAGTGCCAAAAAAGCTGCCAGACACTGGACACAGAATGTGTAAGATTGGGATAATGGCTCATGACTGCTTTTAGATATTCTACTCATGTATACAAGAGAAACTGAATCACATATTAAATGAAATGCCTTGTGCTGCACAGGTCAGTAGACAGTGTATCTCAGGCTGCGTATGTCCTGACGGCCTGCTGTCAGATGGTAAAGGAGGCTGTATAAAGGAGGAGGACTGCCCATGTCTGCATAATGGAGAATCCTATAACTCTGGACAATCAATCCCTGTGAGATGCAATACATGGTGAGCCTTTGATGGTGTGGTGTGGAGCTGTATCACTTCACAATTGGTTGTAAGCTTTTGAAACTGTGGATATCTGCTTAATACATTTTTACTATTTCAAATCTTAGCACATGCAAAGGCAGCAAATGGAAATGTACAGATCACGAGTGTGATGGAACCTGTACCATATACGGAGAAGGACATTACATCACTTTTGACGAAAAGAAATTTAGCTTTAATGGGGAGTGTAACTACATCATCTCTCAGGTATAGTCTAAACCGATGTTTAATATTTGTAACTCAAAGTCCATCTTGTGATACTAACATGTGAATCTTGCAGGATCACTGTGGCAATGACAACAATGGCACCTTCAAGCTGCTGACTGAGAATATCCCCTGTGAATCTGATAAAAACACCTGCTCCAAGAAAATCAAGCTCTATTTAGGGGTACATGACTATGGAAGTTAAGTGCATTCACAAATGAAAAAGCAAACCTTATCTCATAATTAGGAGAACAGGTTAAGGTGGTCAACAATCATTATACTTAAAAGATGAGAGGCGATGGTTCTGTTTGAGTTAACGTAGTGAATATGAGCTTGCTTATCTTTGTAAGCGGTGAAAGTCTTCACTTGTATGAATCACATGTAAACTTTTACAAGAAACAGGAATTGTACACCAATCAGTCGCAACATAAAACCACCTTCCCACCTTGCATTGTAATAAGATGATCAGTGTTATTCAGCTGTCAGTGGTTTCAGTGTTGGTGATGGATACAGGGAGATGCACTGTGGGCAGCAGCATGAACCCACGTTCATATGTGCTTACATTTTTAGAAAAATCACAACAAGGAGATGAGGATTGTTTTTTCTTTTATGAATGTAATACACATCACAACACTACGGTATTTAAGTACATTGTGTTTTGAAAATGCTCAAAATGACTGCACAAATACAAATAATTGTGCTTCATGTCTTTCAGAATAATCAAATTGTTCTGTCAGAAGAAAATGTCAGAGTTATCAAACAAAGCAAAGGGGAGGACATACCCTTTAAAGTCCACACTATGGGTGTATATCTTGTCATCGAGGCAGAGAATGGCCTTGTTCTCGTCTGGAATAAGAAAACAACACTCATGATCAGACTCAGCTACAAATTTAAGGTGGATGAGCAGATAATCAGGTTGTCAGATATTTGTTAATGCGGTTGCCATTTTACAAACCAAATAATTCTTGTTTTATCCCAGGGCAAAGTCTGTGGCTTGTGCGGGAATTATGATGGGAAAGTCAAGAATGAATTGAGCACCAGAAACAAAGAAGTGGTGGTTGAAGCCCTTGAGTTTGGAAACAGCTGGAAAGTGTCGTCTAACTGCCCAAATGCACAGACTCAAAAAGATCCCTGCAGTCTGTACTCCCACAGGAAGGCATGGGCAACTAAAAAGTGCAGCATTATCAAGAGTGAAGTATTCGCTGCCTGCCATTCAAAGGTATAAAAAACGTATTGATACAAGGCAAATACTCTCTGAGTTTCTTTAGAAGTACAGTTAACAATCTACTTTTTCAATTCATAATGTCATCTTTCAAAAAGGTGGACTATGATAGCTATTATGATGCTTGTGTGAGAGACTCATGCGCCTGCAATTCGGGGGGAGACTGTGAGTGTTTCTGCTCATCTGTAGCCGCCTACGCAGCAGCCTGTAACGAGGCCGGAGCCTGTGTGAAATGGAGAACTCCCACCATCTGCCGTGAGTTTGTTCTGCTTTCTTTGTATATGCTTATGTGAGGAAACTGAGAAAAAAATACATTGTATGATCTATCTGTACCATCAATATATGCAAGTATGAGTATCTTAATATGATGTAAACAACGATGTCATTCTTTATCTTGTCAATACTCCTTTCTTTTGTTTCATTAGCTCTATTCTGTGATTTCTACAACCCTGATGGAGAATGTGAGTGGCACTATCAGCCATGTGGAAGAAAATGCATGAAGACATGCAAGAATCCGTCAGGAAAATGCTACAATCAACTTCCAGCATTAGAAGGTATTAATGACAAAAAAAAGGGCTCATATGTACATTTTGAAGGTTAGAAATATTCAGTGAAAAGCTGCTGACCATGCATGCTCTTTTCAAGTAAAACTCATAATGTGATGTTTTAAGCTCAGCTGTGTTTATTGGTGTGTTTCAACCACTCAGAGTTGTTCACAAGGTTTAGGCTAGACTTTGTGCCTGAACCTGTACTGTACCAGTTTTGCAATTTACAATGACATTTAACTTTTTAAGGCTGCTATCCAACTTGCCCGCCTGAAAAGTCTTATTTGGAAGAAGTCACAATGAAGTGTGTGTCAAAGGAGGAATGTGGCTGCTATGATGACGAAGGGAACCATTATAAAGAAGGGGACCCCATGCCGTCAAAGGAAAACTGTTACAGCTGGTAGGGCACTCGTCAACATTCTGCAATAGGTGCAAAAGTTAATGGTAACTTTTATAGAGTCTCTAAAAAATAATCAAGTTGCTATATCATAATGCCAACACTATGTAAATCCTAAAACATCTGGCATTCGATAAAATTACGTACTGTCAATTTTAAAAAACAAATAATTAAGGTGACTCTGAAAATACTCAATAGTACAGAAACATAAACCAAGTAAATATATTTTGTTTTTAAGTTTATTCAAGATGAACCTTTCTACTCTTGTTTATCTTTCAGTCATTGTTTCTCGGCAATGAGTAACTGCAAGTATGATGAGCAAAGTAAGTAGAATAAACAATACTATGTTTATGACTGTTGCTTTGATTGTTGTTGCTAAGAAAGCATACAGATTTACTGAAGACACAACAAACATGCTGAAACCATTTCAATTCATTTCTTTTGCAGCTTGCACTTGTTCCTATAAAGGTCATATATACAAGCAGGGAGAAAAAGTCTACGATACAGATGATGGAGATGGAACCTGTCTCACTGCTCTGTGTGGAAAAAAGGGAAATATTATCAGGATCAGTAAGCCTTGCACTACTACTACTACTACTACTACTACTTCTCCAACAACTACATCAGGTTTTGTCTTCACCCCAAGTGGTAAGCATAAGATACTTAAAAACACAAAGCTTAGGTATTCCTTCTTAGAAGATTTGACACTTATGAGGAAATGATAATGGTGTGGTCTTGTATTTTTGACAGTCCCACAAACCACCAGAAAAACACCCATCACAACAACTCAAAAGGCTCCTAATGTTACTACTGAGGCTGTTACAACAGTTTTGACATTCTCAACACCAAGAGTCTCAACAAGGTCCAAAACAACAACATTGCCAACACTCTCTACAGCTGTATCTACAGAAAAACCCAGCACAATACCGACAACAACCCATAAATCAACATCCATTACAGTCATAGAAAGCCCCAGCACAACAAAAGCCATGGAAAAACCTACCACAACAACAATCAAAGAAAAAACTACCACAATACCTGCAACAACCCTTGCATCCACAACAGTCACAGAAAAACGTGAGACAACAACAACGCCACATACCACCACAACAATCACAGAACAATCAACACCTCCCGACTGCTTTGTTTGTACATGGTCAGGTTGGATCAACAAAGTTCAACCTTACTATACTCCAGATAGTGGAGATTATGAAACCATTGGAAACATCACTGATCTAGATCTGAGTCGTTGCAGAAAACCCCTGGAAATACAGTGTAGAGCGGTAAATCACAAAAGTACGCCTTTGAAGGACTTACGTCAGACAGTAACATGCAATCCAATAGATGGACTGATCTGTCATAACAGGGACCAAAAACCTCCTGTTTGTTTTGACTATGAAATACGAGTCAGGTGTTGCCATTATATTTGTGGGACAAGCACAACAACAAACATAGTACCCACAACCAAAGAATCAACGACCGTCACAGAAATACCCTCTGGAACAACAGCAGCAACAACCACAGCGAAAGCTGTCACAACAACCACAATCACAGAAAAACCCATTGTCACAACAATGTTTGTATCCACAACAGTGACAGAAAAACCCTCGGGAACTACAGTAGCAACAACCACGGGAGAAGCTGTCACAACAACCACAATCACAGAAAAACCAATTGTCACAACAGCCCTTGAGTCAACAACAATAACAGCAAAGCCCTCTGGAACTACAGCAGCAACAACCACGGGAGGAGCTGTCAAAACAACCACTGTCACAGAAAAACCCATTGTCACAACAGCCCTTCAATCAACAACAGCAACAGCAAAGCCCTCTGGAACTACAGCAGCAACAACCACGGCAGAAGCTGTCACAACAACCACAACCACAGCAAAACCCATTGTCACAACAATGCTTGTATCCACAAGAGTGACAGAAAAGCCCTCTGGAACTACAGCAGCAACAACCGCGGGAGAAGCTGTCACAACAACCACTGTCACAGCAAAACCCATTGTCACAACAGCCCTTGAGTCAACAACAGTGACAGGAAAGCCCTCTGGAACAACAGCAGGAACAACCAAGGGAGAAGCTGTCACAACAACCACAATCACAGAAAAACCCATTGTCAC